GAGTAGGGTATTACGCTTCTCAGCGGCCCGAACCTGTATACATCGCCCGTGTCTTGTGTGTTTCCTGTCTCGCGAGCCTTCCACATACAGAGAGCTTAGAATCTCTCCCTGAGTCCCCGGCCGAACCGGCAAAGGGGGGCCTGCGCGGTCTCCCGGTGAGGAGCCCCACGCTCCGTCAAATATACAAGAGAACAAATTAAGTTACGAGACAAGCTAAGTTTGTACGTGTTGATTAATTATCTTATTAACATCGATCTGCCTCTCTTTTCTATGGAGAATTTCAGGAATTAATCCACCATATTTCTGTATGCAGTCATGCATATATAGATGCATGCAAGAGTTAAGGAACGAGGCGGCCGGGTGCCTTTGACCACCAGCAGTGCAGCTCTGGTAGCTTCATATATACTCGACTCGATCGTAGCTTGCGACCACGGCACGCTAGCTATATACTCCCAAGTGAAGTGCTGTTGCACTCAACGGAAAGAGAAGATTTTGATGGCTTAATTTGTCGTGGTCACCACGATCATGATCATCCATCTCACAATTCATGCAGCTCTACATGCATGGAACGACCGGTCTAGCTAGCCATTTCTTTTTCCCCCTTTATTTTTTCCATGGAATAATTAAACAATCCTAGAGTCTCTTCATCAAAGTAGACGTTGATATAAAGACCGTTTCTCTTCTCCAGCAATAATATGCATGTATTTAAATATTTATAATTATATACGTACTTATTGTTTATGCTCCAAATGATTGTCTTCCACACCCTGCAGGTTTTGCTTATCATTTATGTATATGTGCTGCCATATTGCAATCATCTGCCAATAAAAAAAATGCAACTTGCTGATAGCCCATTGCACTTTGCACAAGACGACAATTAAACAAGGAAAATCCACGTGTATATATGATTAACCACCATATATATAGTTGATTATGATTTTATTATGTGGCGTTCTAGCTTTGATCGGCTGCGACGACATATATGCATGTACACGGATGACTTGACCAAATGACTGCCGTAAAAGGACAGACTACCCGGCCGGTTCGATCTAAAATTAGACGATAAGAACAAACCAACTGACCAGTAGTAATACGTTGAGAGAGGACGTACGACAAAACAATTAACATGTGTTTCAAATAAAATATATACTCCCCTTTCCTAAATATTTGACGCCGTTGACTTTTTAAAACATGTTTAACTGTTCATCTTATTCAAAAACTTTTGTAAAATATGTAAAACTATATGTATACATAAAAGGTATATTATTTAACAATGAATCAAATAGGAAAAGAATTAATAAATACTTAAATTTTTAAATAAGATGAACGGTCAAACATGTTTAAAAAATCAACTGTGTCAAATATTTAGAAACGGATGGAATATGTATCGAATAGATTAACCTCGAGCTAGCTACTGGCAGACATACCATTGACAGGTCAATTTATAGAACTCGATCTCGATCGAAAGATGAACCATGCATGGTGGCCACCTTTTAATTATCGTGACATGCACTTGGAAACCCTTTTGATCTCTTAGGAAAGCTAGCTGCAGACAAAGTAGTGAACTAGCTGTACACTCTGAATAAGTAGTTCATCTCAAGAAGATAGACGAGAATAAGAAGAAGAAAACTTTCATGGGAGATAACAACGTGATGTTTATCCTCTCCTATATATTGACCATATATATTATTTTCTCTCATTGGCCAGCTAATTATTAGCGTACGTATATATACGGCTCTAGATCGGGCGCCACGTACGTGTTCGGATTAATCTCTAGCTGGTAATTGATTTGGTAATAATAGTGCTGAGATAGATAGATCAGCTGGACACCAGAGTCCGACGTTCCGTTGAAGCATCGCTAATGTCGATTAGTACAGTTATGGTCTTCCAAGGTAAAAGGACGTACGGTTAGATTAATTGTGCTCAATGATGAATACAGCCATTCCCTTACTGTTTGCTGCGTCCAGTTTAGATTGTGACATGAAGAATTCAAGGCCTGCATATATATATGCGCATAATATATATAATGTCGTGTAGAGGAAGCTTCAATGTACCTGTAAAGATCCTTAAACCAACTTGAGCCAACTCTCCCATTTACTGTTCTTATTTTCAATCAAGAAAAATACCTTCATATAAGGGCAGGTGTTGTGTAATTTAGTTTACTAGCTAGGGCATGCTTGAAAGTCATTCATTTTGCAAGCTTTTCATATGGAACAATTTGATTTAATTTACGAGCATGATCGATGAGTGTTTGCATGTTTACACGGATCTGACAAATTAACTTGTTCTGGAAACGGTAAACAAATTAAACTGAACTTTTCTACGAATTAACAGCTGATAACGAACGCATGTTCTGAACCTAACTTTTCTTTTAAAGATAACTATCTTTTGAACCTAACTAGAGGGTCCAAGTTAGATAGGGAAGTTCTGTAAGTGCATCCATCTTGAGATACTAAGGCTAAGCACTAAGCTAGCAGGAAGCAAGGTCAGTTAAGCATCAGCAGCTAGCAGTAGTGTAGTACAACCTGGCTTCCTAAGAAAAAGATGGCCAGCCAGACACATGGTTTTGAATGGTTGGCTCCGGTAATTACCAACGTGATCGATGTAATAAATCGTGTTGATCACAGCTGGTAAAAAAAAGAGAGAGAGATGAAGATTAATTTGGTGAGTTTCTTGATTTGGGATCTAACAGGTGTCGACATTGGCGAGGAGCAGATCACACTAGTTACTGCCGACGGGACACGTGTAGGCTGGTTGTGGAAGAGACGGTTAAAAACCGTAAGATACGCCACTCTTCCGAGTCCAATACGGTGAGTACTAAAGATCTACGTATTCCTTTCGTACGTACCCAGCTAGCTAGCTTAGCTACTGCCTATTATTCGATTGATGTTTCTTTCACCCGTGTGTGCGCGTGTCTATGTCTACGTAAAAACGTGCTTTCTTTTTTGTGGAAAAGGACCTTCCAATGATAAATTGTTGATAAAGCCAAACCACTAATTAGCATAGCTGCAGTGACAACTGACAAGGGCATACTTCACTCAGTCAGATATACAGCCCATTGGGCCGTAAACACTTGGGTCTCACTCCCGTTCAGACTGTTTGATGGCCCAGGTGTATCTCAAGCCCATACGACACTAGCTTGGGCCTTGATGGGCCGATACACCATAACAACTTGCGCTCAAAGTGGGAATAAGTGCATCCAAGGTCTCTTAACTTGTCAACGAATTCGATTTTCATCCTGCAACCACAAAACCAGATACAACGGATCCCTCAATTATCAAAACCGGTGCAATATAAGTCCCATGGTGGTTTGGAAGGCGGTTTTGGTTTACGTGGCGTCTACGTGGCTAAATTGACCCGGTCTTCATCTGACGTGGCAATTTGATTTGGAAATTAATAAAAAGAGTGACCCCACATGTCAGCTACACCAAAAGAATTAATTAAAAATGGTGGAGCCCACGTGGGCTCCACTTGTCATTCACTCCCCTAATCTTCTTCCTCCTCTCTCTCCCCATCTCCCCTCTCCTCTCTCCAGGAGCTGGCGGTTCGGCGACGCGGCCGGCCGGCGGCAGCGGAGCCAGAGATGACCTCGGAGACGAGGACGCCGGGGAGCTGCGCCTGGACGGGGACGCCGGCGGTGATTGTTGTTACTGGACTCAGAGTTGGTGTTGTTGTTGTTGAGCTCACCGTGGTAGGAGCTGAGAGGGGGAGAAGGAGAGATGGGGCGGCCGCCGTGCTGCGACAAGGCAAACGTGAAGAAGGGGCCATGGAAGGCGGAGGAGGACGCGCGCCAAGCTGCTAGCGTACACCTCCACCCATGGCACCAGCAACTGGACCTCCATTCCTCAGCGAGCAGGTCGTGAAAATCAACGATATCGCCATTGCTGCTAATGGGATCGAGCTTGAGGTGCATTTGATCATATCAGATCAGATTAAAATATGGTGTTTTTGTTTATCTCTTCTTTTTCCCTTTCGGCGATGCGGCGTCAAGGGAGGTTCGGCGGCCAACGATGCCGCGGCGACCCCCCGTCTGACCTCCTCGCCAGCGTCGAGTCGGTCGCCTCCGCCACCTCCTGCGGCATCCACGTCTCCAAGTTCTCCGTCAGCTTTCCCCGACGACGAACCGGACTCCGGCTTCTCGCCCGACGACCCGGACCTCCTGCGCAACCGCCCCGTCCCCGACCGGCTCCTCGTCGTCTCCGCCGGCGTCGCAGCCAACCTCCTCTTCGCCTTCCTCATCATCTACACCCAGGCGCTCGCCGTCGGCGTCCCCGTCCAGGCGCAGCTCCCCGGCGTCCTCGTCTCCGAGGTCATCCCTGGCTCCGCTGCCGCCGGCCTGCCGCATCACCGAACCGCCAGCTCCTGGAGAGAGGAGAGGGGAGATAGGGAGAGAGGAGGAAGAAGATGAGGAGAGTGAATGACAAGTGGGGCCCATGTGGACCACACCATTTTTAATTAATTCTTTTGGTGTAGCTGACATGTGGGGTTACTCTTTTTATTAATTTCCAAATCAAATTGCCACGTCAATGCCACATCTATGCCACGTCAGATGAAGACCAGGTCAATTTAGACACGTAGGTGCCACGTAAGCCAAAACCACCATCCAAACCGCCATGGGACCTATATTGCACCGGTTTTGATAGTTGAGGGACCCGTTGTATCTGGTTTTGTGGTTAAGGGATGAAAATTGGATTTGTTGACAAGTTAAGGGACCTTGGATGAACTTATTCCCTCAAAGTCTCAATTTGTCGCCAGATTTTCGTCCTTAACCAAAAATACAATCCCTCAACTTACAAAACCTATACAAATAAGGTTCATACATAGCTCTTTTGACTAGGCTGCTTCATCCTACGTGGAATTGACGTGACGCTTACACGACAATTTAATCCGGAGAACAACAAAAGGAGCTGACATGGCAGCAGAGACAAAGTGTGGGACCCACATATCAGCTGAGTCATGCTGGCATGTGGGATCACCACATGGACACATGGTCAATCTTCTTCTCTACTGTACTGCCCCTAACAGAGGTACAGAACTGGAGTAGTATAGATCAAGAAAAGAATGACAGGCTCGTCTTACTTTCAATGGTACAAAAAAAAAATGTATATACCCCTTGCATGCAAGTATGCAACTATGCAAGCTGGCGGGTCCTTGTGTATCACTCATTATCAGGCTACTGTATAGAAGCAGGTTAAATCAATCGATTTCAGTAACAAAATGGTCACTTGGGGCGTGCGCAGCGCCGAGCAAGCGAACACCCTCCAGATCCAAAACTTTACGGCGATGACGCCCTCTGATCGTAGCTCCCTTGCTGAACTTTCTGCTGTCTGTCTATCAAGATGCAACCTCAATGGCACTTCCCAGTGGCCATGCTGCTTCCACAAACGCGTTGCTGTAAGGGACTTTCTTTACCAAGGTCATCTCTTGGTGAGAACCAACACCTGCGAGAGTGCAAGAGCAAAACAAATTAGTGATAAATTTGTGCAAAATCTGTAATGCGGTCTTGATTATATTTAGTTTTAACGAGACATACCAAATCCATCCACAAGTAAGGTGTACTGGTAAACGAGATCCATGCAGATATATGGAATGTTATCCTTTTGGACACCAGGGTAGGCAGCTTCGGCGTCCTTCAAGTTTAACTTACATGCACGCTTGGCAGCCTTTTCAAAATCTGAAGGTTTAACCTTAGCCACAGGTGCCTTGGGATTCACAAATCCAGCCTGAGCAGAGACCAGAAAATTGTTTACTGGTGTATCATCATGGCAACAAAAGCAAACATCTTCAGTAGTTCAACAACCTTACCTCAGCTGCCCTGTCGAAGAAAAATGATGCCACAAACAAATTCTTCTGTCCAGCGCCACCACCACCATTCCAAATGCCACCAAAAGAACATTTCATGTGAGTGCATGCTTGGTCAACTTTAAGAGCTTTCACTACATCATCCCTGCATTTTGAATAACTAGCACCAGATGGTGAAGCCGACGCTTCAAATTTGCCATTGCCATATTTGTATTGCCCTACAATCACAATGCAATTAGAACAAAACTATCTTACCAACATAGAAAAGATAAAATTGCATCTCCAACTATTGTCACAGATTGGTCATTTGTGTTGATGAGGATTTAGATTTATACACATCACTATAAATAATTCTAACTGCAGACTGATGGTTGGAAAGAATATCAAGGAAACCAGTAAGGTATTTGTTTCATAGAGAATTTGAGGGTAACCTCATTTAAACCAGGTTACGATCCACTATAAGGGTGTGTTCCTTACCACCTCTTCCCAACTTCTATTTCTCGTTTTCCACGCACACGTTTGCCAAACTGCTAAACGGTGTTTTTTTTTTTTGCAAAAAAAATTCTATATGTAAGTTGTTTTACAAAATTATATCAATCCATTTTTTTCAAGTTTATTTTAGCTCATGCTTAATTAATCATGCGCTAATGGGTCGCTTTGTTTTGCGTGTGGCGAGGTGAAGTTCCCAACCTCCACCTCCGAATGCAGCCTACGCATTACATTCCTCCCTTGACCAAAATATGCATAAGGGTAACAACAATTGAAATTTTAGGAACAAACATAAGCTACTTGGCAGGGAGTTAAATGATAGCAGAAGAATATGGTAGAAGTATGTTACTAGTACCTTGATGCCCCTCCAATGTACAGTAGCTGTAACCTTTGCCATTGCCGGCTTTTAAGATCTCTGCTCTAGCAGCCAGCAACCCATAATGCAAATAGCTGTGAAGAAATGTGTACAGTTATATATGTGGTTCAAAGACTCCAGACTAAAAACAGGTCATGTGATGTCATCTTATACAGCAGATAATAAAAAAGTAAGGAGTATTAAGTTTGTGGCTATGTCAGATTAAGTGTTTGCTGTAGAACATTACATAGAATACCACGTGATATTTAGGTAGAATCTTTACACATAAAAGTACCCTTACGTTTGGTCTGGACTTAAGTTTCTCAAATTTGCATTAATACGCTATTCTTGCATTTTTATCAATACGAGATAGTATCTTAGAGGATTACAACAGCTGTCTGCTTTGCAAAGAATATAACCTATGAATTGGCATAGGCAGACATCAGAAATAGGCATGACAATATGCCATCAGATGCTTAAATGGATTTTGAAGATTGTTACCGTATCACAACTGAATAACTTTTTTCTTGACAATGTAGCAGCAGCCAAAAGCTCAACGGTATTTCATACTAACCTGTGAACATAAAGATAATATGTTGTTCCTTTAAGAAACAGTTTCTTCACATATGAATCTTCACCCTCTGATGGTTTAGGAGCCTTCACTGCATCCTTCTCTGCAATTGCATATGCCATCTGCACAGATCCACCTCCAAGATCAACCACTCCAACTGTGTCTGCGTAAGTCTTTCCCAATTTCCCCAGCAGATAATTGATGGTAACCTATAAGGATAGAGAAGAGCAACACTTGTTATCAGTTAATGGACTAAAAGCTAGACATAGAATCACTAGTTGTGAACAGATCCTAAACACTCAAAAGGTGAATTAACTGTCAGAACAGTGCACCACATGGATTCAGATGATCTGCATCTATTTTCAGGGAAAATGTTGTTTCTGGTGCCCTTACTTTCAATGTTTAGCTTTCGTCATTTGGATTTTGTTTCGTCATTTGTTTCTGGTGCCCAAATTTTGTTTTTCAAAAATGAAAATAGTTATTTTGCCTAATTCACTCATGAAAGCGAAAATTTCTCTTTTTTTATCATGTCCTTTAAAACTTATATCTTTGAAGCTGGCAGATGTCAGCTCTAAGAGAATTGGCAGATTTGTTGCTGAACAAAATAGTTTTTTCTAAACAAAAAGAACTTATATTGTCAATCTGACAAATGTGAGGCATTTCTAATAATCAGGAGCACAAAGTAATGTTCTGAACCATATGAATAAATCAGGCCAGTTTTGTACCCATTCATATGCGCCTTCCTGAGGTCCATCAAGAACTGTAACCCAATCCGGTTGGGTCTTGAACGAACTCTTTTCGCGAAGAAGATCCCTGACCTGCAAAAATTGTGAGTGTATTCAATATTAGGGACAACCAATATAAATTCAGTGATCGATCAAACAACAATTAATCAAAGGTGAATAAAAGCAAAATTTACCGCTTGCAAAATCTCCTCTGATTTTTCTGCTCCCAACGCTCTTAGCCCGGCGGTGGCCTGTGTGTGAATTATAAAGCTTATTATTAGAAGATGACCAAGCAGCAATAGGAAGCTCTACTGGTATCGTACAAGAACTCACCCCAACTCTAACAGGAGTCTGGCCGCGCAATTCCACGGGAACCACTCGTTTGGCATCCTCAAGGAGAGAGACGAGCGATTTGGCAGCCTCCTGCGGGTTATTGGCGTACTCGCTAAGCCCCGGCTTTTTCTGCAAAAGGGGAAGTGGGGGGAAATTAAGTAAAAATGGATTGAGAGATGAAAGGATCCCTAGCAGATCCAGATCCAATTGGGTGGATGGATCACCTGGACGAAGAGCTCGATCTGGTCGCCAATGTGGAGCAGATCGAGGTTGGCGTCGAAGCGGAAGACGTGGACGCGGCTCCCGGAGCTCCCGGCGTCGAAAATGACGGCGTACTTGTTGGCGTCGAGGGGGCCCCACCTCCTGCCGGCGGCGGCGGAGGAGGAGGCGGGGGAGCGCGGCATGAGGAGGAGGACGAGGGAGACGAGGGCGAGCGGGGCGAGGATGACGAGGAGGACGCCGCGGTAGCGGTGGAGGCGGTCGGCGAGCGTGTCGGGGCGGGCGCCGCCGCCGGGCAGCGCGGAGTAGCGGCGCATGTTCTTGGCGTCGGCGTCGGAGGGCGGGGCGAGGAGGAGGTCCGGGGAGGAGGGCGTGCGGTAGCGGATGCGGCCCGGCGGCGGCGGCGACGGCTTGACCGCCTCCTGCTCCGCGGAATCCAGGGCGGAGAGAGGTGGATCTGCGCGGCGTGGGCTCTGCCTCTGCCTCTGAGATCGCAGTGGAGAGTATAACGGGTGGGGTTTGACTTGGCGGGGATCGCGTCGCGTCGAGATGGGCGTCGTCGCGAGCTGGAAATGCGTGCGCGTGCGGGTGCGTGTGCGTGTGTGTGCGGCGTTGGGATCTGCGGCGAGAGAGGGGTTCGCTGCTGCTGCTCTGCTCCCCGGCGAGCCGAGCGCCAGAGGAAGAGGACAAAGTGGCGGGCTTGGAATGGGGACGCGACAGGTTTGCTCTTGCTGACGACGATGCGGATGCGGTGCGGTTTGCTTCGTGCGCGCGCCGGCTCGATCGATCGATCGCGCGTCCCCCGGTCACCGGCTTTGCCCGTTTGCCGTGCGTGTTGCTTTCAGAGTTTGGCTAATCTGTGCGCGGTCCACGCGTGTACCGTGACTTGGTTTGGTACGATCGGGCACGACATGTTCCTTGGATTTGACCATGTGTATACATCAAGAGGCGAATGCGATCGATCTTTTGTGGTTTGTTTATATATCCAGAATGCTTTTATTTTCATTCCTTTACAAGGCTTGCCTCTACGGCTTATGCTTTTTTTCTCTTTTACAAAATTAAAGTGTTGATGAATATTATTTATTCCAGAATTATATATTTTGATTTTTACTGCTTTTTCTTTAAGAGGGGTTAATGTAAGAGACAAACGACCCTGAATATATAATCTTTCGACACGCAATTATTGGAATATTCAATAATTCGCTTGCTATAATTGAGCATATAAGCAGTACACTCTTGTTGTATTCTTTGTCCTCTCCTCTTATGCACGAGGTTAGCTTCTCTTGAGGGATATCTTGCTTATCTATCATGAATAACAAACGCTTTTCTCATGATTTCTTCTTGTCCCATCTACATATAAGATAACATATGTAACCTAACATGTCTACCGAAGAGCATATTCTCTCCTCTAATGCATGAGGTACCATTTATAGGCGGACATTATGTTGTTTGTCTATTTTAGGCGTATAGATAGTAGATGATTATACGACGAACAACTCCAATGGCTAGTGTAGTATTATCGCTATTGGCATTTATGCGTTCCTATGTATTGTATTCAAGTTATAGTAATCCTTCCCTTTTTAATAATACCTCCATCCAGAAATATATGGGATTATTCCCAATTGGGTACAAATTAAGGAAGAAAGTATACACCAAATCTGATTGTGTGAAAAGACATATATAGTTAACACGTTGAATGATGTGCATAGAGTACATCTTTAAAAAAAAACTACTAAAGTTTGGTAGGAGTGAATGAATTTTAAAATGCACTACATATTAGTATTAATGAGTTTGTGAGAGCCTTATATGCTGAAATCAGTTTGTTGCTGCCCTTGTTGCCTCAGTATAACAAAAATCGTCTATATTCTTGGACAAATGAAGGAGAAATAATCCCCTATATTCCCGGGCAGATGAGTAGATGTCGACAATGATTTTGTTTGCAAAATGGGAAAAAATAAGATAAAACCTCCTGAAAGAAAAAAAAACAAAAAAGAGATTTGACAAAATTCCATAGCCCAGGTATCGTGATAGAAAATTTTGAAATACGTTTTGTTTGCAAAATGGGAAAAAAAACAAGATAAAACCTCCTGAAAGAAAAAAAAACAAAAAAGAGATTTGACAAAATTCCATAGCCCACCGAGTCAAAGGAGTTACTAGGCCGAGGGCAAAAGTTGGGCCGTAATCGGCCAGCCGCGCAAGAAGTAAAGGAGGCTTGGACTGCGACGTAAAGCGCGCTCTGGGAGTCTGTGGGCTGGAAGCCTGCAAGCGCCGGGTCTGGGAGGAAGGCTGGGCCGTGTTGTCGCGACGCTATCACAGGCACATGCTTGAACAACACGCTGGGCTTGCTTTTGACCGCGATCTCACTCGATTCTCTTCTCGTTGACTTGTCTCGTGCCATTTTCTCGTCTCTTCGCTGTATGCACCATGTGTTCACGTGGCACGCACGTGCAACGTTTCATATAATCCACGCATGTGTTCCCTTTTTGACTCGTACAAGTATGAATAGTATATTGCGGTGCTATACCTTTTCTTTGCGTATCAGCCATCTACTGAACTGCAAGTCTGCAACGTGATGCGAAAAGAAAAAAAAAGAGCTGCAACGTACGTGATGCGAGGACTGTATGAAACTGCTCGCTTGGGTTGGGCCTTAAGGCCCATCAATATCGAGTGCTTAGTAATATGGGCCGCTTCGCTGGCGCCGCTGTATACAAACGTGACGTGATACGTACTAGTACAGCTTTGAACGCACCTCGTCGATCGATGCAAAGTGCGATCTGCATTAATAGCGTTGCGTCTCCTTGCCAACCTCCTCTGCATGCGGTCGCTTCCCACCGACGCCTCCATCACATCGGCGCCCGTCGCGGTCAACTCGAAATCAACATACCACCAGCCGCGCGCGTGCAGCCGTCGTCGCATCTCACCATCGCAGCCATATCCTCTCCCTCTCCCACTTCGCCTCATCACTACTCCGTTCCCTAACCACCATTCCTCGCCATGGCGGCCCCGGCGGACGACTACTACGGCGACGACGACGACGAGTACGACGACTACAACCCCCACCCCTACGGCGGCGGCTACGACATCTTCGCCACCTACGGCTCCCCGATTCCGCCCTCCCCCACCACCTGCTACCCCGTCTCCTCCGCTGCTCCTACGGCCCCGCCGCCTAAGCCGTCGCCTACTCCGCCTCCGGCTTCTCCACCGCCTGCGCCCACTCCCCCGCAAACGCGGCCGCCTTCTCCGCCGCCGCAGCAGCAGCAGCCTCGGCCGGTTTCGCCGCCGCCCGTGGCGGAGCCGTACTACTGGCCCAAGCCCTACGACTACGGGGATGCGCCGCGCGAGCAGCCGGCGTACGCCACGCCGGAGGTCTTCCGGGGCTGGCCCTTCTTCGCGGGGGCGCGCTGCCACTCGCGGTGCGGCGGCCGCGACTACTGGAGGCAGTTCATGCGGGGGCTGGATTACCTCTTCGGCCACGCCGATGGCTACGGGGAGCGCCGTATTGGGGTGGACTACCACGGCGTCCCCGTCTACGCCAACAGGAAGGGAGGCGTCGAGGAAGCCGTCGTCATACAAGTGGAGCCGCCGGCCACCGGGACTGTAGAGTGGCACCACGCCGCCGACGACCCGGAGTACAACTACAACAACGGCAATGTGAGCGAATACACCATACCACTCGGGATTTTTCACTTCACTTCTGACTTGCTATTGTTGTTCACTTGCTACGTCTGCTGTCTTGCATGTTGAGCCAGCGCTTATCTTGGGATGACAATGCCAAAGATGAAACATATGCATATGTGCAGCACAATTACAGTTCGTATGATCGCTCTTATGATCAGTCTTACAGTCTTGATGCCGTTTCCGATGAAACTACTTGGTTTCCTAATCAGAACTACCAGCACGTGTACAAAGAGGAGGAATCTCAGTATCAGGTACTAATTAACTTATCACTGATCAAGAAGAATGAGGTCAATTAGTCGTCAGCCTGAGTATTTAGCTCAATTGCGTGCAATAGTACTGTAATTTAGTTATGTTTGATTCATTTTTCTGAGAATATGCTAGCTAATCTTGTCAGTGGACATATTTGACATGTAAAATGACAGAAAATGGAACGAAAAGGATTGTTTATTTTGAGGGAGTCGCTTTCTGTGACTAGACAGTTTAATCAATGACACATTAGCGTTCGCGAAAAAAATCAATGATACATTACTCTTGTGTAGCATTCAACAGATCCTGCCTGCTATCTTCGCTTCTAATCCCTGCTTAATATTAAATTTGCGTGCAGGAAATCTTGTCCAGCTCTTGTGCAGAAAGTAAGATTTCAGCTCAGCCTATTTATTGTTACAACCAGCAGTTTAGTGAACAACCGCTACATGTTCTTGTTGAGCCCCCAGAAACAGTTTATTCTCAGAAGTTGGAGTACTATGAGGTTTGTCTGTCATCTACAAATGCTGTTTACAGTGTCTTCATTTGGTAATTATGCATTTGCTTGTTCAGGTTGAGTTCATCAATCTCAAGGGAGAACACTTTTTTTTTATGTAGTCTTGTGATTGTCAATTAAATAATTTGTGCAGAGCTTCTCAACATACAACCACCATAACAGCAACGATGATTCAGATATGTTGGGACATTCATATGACATACAGCTGCCCGATGAACATGTGCCAGATGAACCATTTGAACCAATTAAGCCTTCTTGGGCTATGCATTCGGGATACTATCAGTCCTGCACAGATGGGGCATCTGCTGAATTCGAAAATGTAAGTTAGGTAGTTATTTCAGGAATTATGTTGTAAAAAAAATATCCAACTGAGACTATCTTTTTCACATTTGATGTTATACCGATATGGTGATACCTTGCTGCTTCAAGATCAAAGTAATTGTATTATTGAAATTTTCAGTGGAAGCTATCGTTATCACATATGTTGTGCTACTAATACCTTCCTGAGGCAATATTATTTTTTCTTTAAACTCCTTGAGTGCTACATTTTATCGGACCATGAACTTTTTTATTGGACTATAGCTACTTATGTTTTCCTTTACTAATTCGTTACTTTGACTTGCAGCATACTTTAAGCTCCAGTGAATTCAGTGGTATTGCAAGCTTATTTGCAACTTCCTTCTACCCTCAACAAACACAAATTTATGAGTGTCATGGAGATGAGAATGTTTCCTTGCAGCAAAATTGGCAGTGCAACTGGAATGTGGTTTCTGAAAATGATTTCCAATCGGTAAGCGTAACGGTGTCTATGTCTGTGAACGTGCTTTTTTAATACCCTATACTCTTATTTTTATCGCTCCATTTTACTCCTATTTGTGTACTGTTGAATGTGTGTCATGGTCGGTACACATGTAGTTGAAGTGCTAAGGATGGCGCACAGGGGGCAGAACCAAGCGGCAGCAGATAGACCATCAATGCATTTGCCGCACCTATCGTACCTCCTTAGTTGTTTGATTCAATTTGTTTAGGTTGAGATTTGTTAAACTTTTTAGGTTTGTTAGGGGCTGGCTTTATTTAAGAGAGCTTGGCATTATCTTTGAAATTAAGAGCAAATTACAAGTCTACTCTCTCATCCCCTGTTCTCTCTGCCTCTCCCCTTTTTTGGTGCTGCCTGGTGCCATCTCATTCAACCATGGGTAGTAAGACTGTTAACCTATCTAGCTACTTCCCACTCCTATCTTATTAGATCACTCCCTAACGCCCGAATATATTATATTGTTCTTGGCCTCATGGGTGGCTGATGACGATCAATGAAAACTTCAGACATGTCTGTGAGTGATGCTTTTTTTCCCCTTGCAAACGATAGAATTATGAATTAGTATCTGTTTTCGTTTTGGATGCTGTAAATTTAAAATGTCTGGACCTTTATAGTATGTCCCGTGTATCCTTTCACATTCTTCTGAAATATTTATTTTTGCTATTTAATATGCAATCCATGACACAATTTGTTTTGTTGCTCAAGAATGGCCATCACATGATCTCATTTGCTGAAGTTCAAAATGGCACTGCTTGGCTGCGATTTTTTGCGGCTGCAGCTGTGCATAATGTCTGTGGCTGTGGCGCACAGCCGTGGCTACTAGCAGCAGACGCAGCCACAAAAATGACAGCCAAACAAGCCCAATATATCTCTTTCAGATTTAGTTAATACTTGGTTGCTCTTTGTTCCATATATTCTGATGTTAGTGTAACTTTTATCCACATTCATGATCTACCACACTTGCCAGTGTTAGTAGTAATTGGGATTTACTTGCCAAAAGAATAATTCTCAGACTCCAGCAGATAAGTGAGGTTAACTCTGTCTTTATGGTATAGTTTTCTTAACAAATCAGCAATCTCAGTACCCTTGCTAGACGATTTTAATGAGTGTTAATAGTTTGGTTGTTTGTGCTTTGCTGGTATTGTTGCTAGATTTCAACTGAAACAATCTTGTATGGTGCCCGCATCACATTTTTATGGTTGAAACATGAGTGTGCAACTGTGCATGCGATGTCTCCATGTTGTCTTTTGAACTGAAATATTTCTCCATTTTTATTTGCAGGGTTACGATTCCAACCATATGAATGGCTCCTTCTGGCCGTTTGGAGATCATTCAGCATAATACCACATAGTCTATATTGTTGTAATTTCACTCTTATCTTTTTTATGTACATTTCATTTAAATTTACCCGGCCAAATGTAAATGAAAAAAATATATATAAGAGGTTATGCACCAATGTATCTAGGTTCAGCATATAATGTAAGATCATTGACGCTGTTGTTGACCATAATTACTTCTTTTTATAGTGATATCCAGTTTCTTTTTAACCTGAGACCATACCACTATTATTTACATTCAACCATACCTCTGAATATATTATCATATTCTTGTATTCCTGAGCCTAAGACTGTTTTACCCATTTCAGGTTCCTCTAATCTGCACCGCAATTATTTGGCACTACATGTTTGACTTGCTTGAATATATAAGCTGATACCTACTGTTATGCTGTTTCAGTTTTCTTTGAGTCCTGGCTGAAGGAATTAGCGTATTGCATTTCAGAACCAAATGAGCTTTTCAGGATCTTCACAGAACATAGCTTGCTCTGCGTATCATTTGATAATTGGTACATTATGGCATTCCTGTCCTGTTTTAGTTTCTTATGTCAGTTGAATCATTATGATTGATGAGCGCCTTTTTCCCATCTTCCTTACAGCAAGTCCTACTCAGTATAATCCTTTGTCAGTAGAACTTTTTTTTCCCAATTTATTTCCTTTGTCGCCAATTTGGACGGGATGAGCATATTTGGTTTACTACTTTAGTTTGGTTTTCAAGATTATGCAGATTTGTGTGAACACAAATCCTGGGTATGATATCTGGTACAAGTTGGCTATCTAGAAACTGTTTGTTCTTAACTCGTCAATCAATCATACCAGCACTCTATACAGTACTATTTTCAAGGTTTTGTACCATCATGAAGGCTTGATCGTGAAGCAACAAAAAAAGGGATTTGGAAGTAGACAGCTACGTCCTGTTGTAAGCTGTAACTTATGAAGACGACTTCCCTTTTCCAAGCACAATCTAATGATAGTTATGCTATCTCTTTTGGTATCTGCTAGGCCCATAGGTTGCTGCTGTCAAATAGGAGATCTATTGTCGTTAACTCTAGTGTTTGTTGGTTGCTATTTTCAGGTCAAATCTTTGCAACTCTCCTGGACCTGGCCCAATTAGGTCCTCCTGTCAGGGCCTTCAACGGGAACCTGGAGAGCGAGGAACCAATAATAAAAATAGAAGTTCTAAAGCTACATATGACGGTATGTTGAAGTTCTGAAGTATATTTTGAACTTAAGACTGGAAAACATCAGAGCGGCTATAGGTCAACCAATAGCACTAACTGATACACAGGTCCACTTGTTTTCCATACTATCTTATGCTTGTTTAGTGGATGATAATCAAACAAACAAGCCTTTTCTTCCCTCTACAGTTTTAGCTGCCATAATATATTTTACATTTCAAAGCTTTGCTACTGATTGTTCCCTGCTCTTGTGAAGGTGTATCGAAGGGTAACATCTTTCTCCTGTAATTAAATCTGCTATAATAGCAGGCCCACTCATTGGAGATAGATATGTTTTTGATTCCCACTTTCTTTTCTTGAATCATGATCTTTTAAATAAGATTACCTTACCCCTGGGAAAAAGCAAAGACAGGCCATAGAAAACAGAAAGATACCGAATGGATCTTAAGGCCATCATAGCTCTCTGCTTTCTCATGTCACCTAGTTGAGTCCCTGTAGTTGCCAGAACTTGTTTGTAAACAGTTGAAGAATGATTGCCTTTTACATTACTACGTATATATCTGTACCTTTTTTTTTTCCTTTACAACTGCCAGTAAAAAAAGTGTCAAAAAAGTTGGGTCGAACACAAACAGCTGTCCCGATCCTTCAATCCTTTTAGCAGGTATTAGTGCTACTGTTAAGCAAATATTAACTACCGCCGTTTAGGTAGTGATGCAGAATAATGTTTTAATACCTGAAACCATTTAAGGTGGTTGCTAGTTCTACCCGGTAGATATGTGGAGTAAACATTATACCTGACTACCTGAGTGCAGTTGAAAACAAGTGACTTCCACAAAGGGTAACCCCTTTTGTTTGTGCACCTCAACTTACAGCAAGTTTAGCCAGTTAGTAGGAATCTGGGAGAAGTCCTTATCAGACCTAAAATGCATGCCAGCATGGAACTAAAGTGTAGAGAAAGTAAATGCATAGCGTATTATGATCCTTTATTTCCTTCCTCTTTGATGCACCAAATAGCTGCGAATCTATGATAAGACGTTTCTTAGTAGTGCTAGTGGTGTAAACATACAATTCGTTTAAGCCTTGTTAAGTTTGACTGTTTTTTATAATGACCATCCACACAAAATTACCATTCAAAAATTGGAAGGTTGTTTTCTATATGTAAGTTGTTATAGAATTTCTTGTGATGGCTTCTTTCCCTTGCTAAATGAACAATATCACTATCACAGTAAGTTATCTATTTTTTCTATGCAATATAAGTACCAACAAACTCATTTGACAGGCTTTAATAATCAGTGTGTACAGGTCTAAAGTGGATTATATTTGGAATCGTATTGAGTATGCACCATCTATGCTTGTTTGCCTACTTGTTTCTGCTGTAGTTTTAGTTTTGGTGCATGGAGACAAGGACGAGAAGCATTTGTTATTGTGAACACGTAGGCCCATATGATCTCATGATTCTGATCAGATCCCACTATTAATTACTTAGTGTATTATTGAAAAGGGAAGGGCAAAGAGGGAGTCAGATTTATAATTTATACAGGTGGACTAAAGTTGTCGTTTGAATGGAGAGAAGGCCAAAGCTAATGATATCCCTATTCTCTAATCCAAACTGTAATGTGTATTGTGTAGGCAACGAGGAATGGTGACATCTACAGCTCGACCTGAGCCACCACAGCGACCTACCTGCGTTTGGCAGAATGGCAGGTATGTTTCCCCCCTTGCCCTTTTATCCGTGTTTGCTTCTCACCTCCTGACAATAAAATTCAAACAAATCCGACAAGTTCTTTGGTGGTTGCTTATGCAAAAAAGCATATAATCTCAGCATATCTGTCATAGTCTCATAGAATTGAGCCGTGATATAGATTTCTAGCTTCCATGTAGCTTCCTCAAGATATTGCGATCTTGTGAAGATGGCATGTAGCATAGCAGTAGTGATTCTAGTGTAATCGGCGAGATATCTCCACTGTGGAGTGGTCTCTTCCCGAAAATTTCGCTGTGTCCAGCAAGGGTCCAATTGGTACCCACATGGGTGGGATCCGGGGTGGGGGGGTTTTGGTTACTATTTGCTCCCATCTCCTGCTGTTGTCTAGTGACCTGAACTGACCCACAAACACACAAGACCATGAAAAGTTTTCTTGCTCTGTAGTATGTACTCTGTACTGGTGTAGTGCCTTGCAAATCCATGCTGAACAAAAAACACCGTGCCGCGCCCATGCCCCATCCTTTGCAGACCCATAGCCAGCCTGCCCAGGTCTCTCTGTTGGACTCACTTGAGCTGCCTCTGCCTGACCCTGAGACATGCAGTCCGGTTGCAATGCAAATTCTGACCGGCGAACAGCGACCACGAGACGGTGATGTTGAAGGGAATCAAAATCGATCAGCAACATATGCATGTGGGTGTTGTTCCATTTCGCTTTTGGATGTACTCCCCAGTATAGTGGTACGTACAAGAGTGACATCAAACCACTGTTTCCCCTCACGGGTTCATATGAGTTACCTGTTGGGGCTGTACACTGGAGGGGCACTGTCAATTCAAAATCCTAGCATGGACATTGCCAATTTACTACGAGTTCTATGTGGTTGTCCCCATGCTACCGCATCAATCGCCCAATCAATTACCCAAAACCCAAGATTGGACAGTAGGTTGCCGCACACTAGCCTCCCTGCATATGCAACCAGGGTAGTGTCTGTTGTATTTGCGCACCAAAGTACGGCATAATGTATCCGCACAATTATTAGCTTTTCTTTATTTTTATCGTGTGCTAAGATTCCTTTGGATTGATTGGATGAATTTCATACGATTTATGTCGGATTGGAATTCTTGGGAAATTTTATGTCCTTTGGAACAAAGAAATAGGATGCCAGAATTCCTATAGATTGGCCTCATATGACCCTAATTCCATAGGAAAATAAACATGAGCTCAAACATCATGTTTCTATCTTTCTTTGACAAGTCCCATGCACCCGGTCTCTCTAGTTTCTCTCTGTCATTAATTTACTTCCTCTCTTCCAGAATAAATAAACCTAGAATATGATGTAAAATTACCTAGTAAATCTGAATAAGAGCACCTATCCAGATTGGCCATAGTAATGTACAGTATTATTCTAGTATAGTTGGTTTATTTTTGGACGGAGGGATATATGTTTACTTCCTACTTCGTCCGTAAAAAAATCAATTTTTTGAGGAATAATGGACAAACATAGTTCGTTATTAGAAAGTTCTATTTTCCGAAGGGTGTAGGGAACGGACGAACTGAGCCATCGTTTCACTTAATTGCGAAATAAGCGAAACGGCATATTTGCAAATGAAAAGTAATTTGTGAATAAAACTTTTATAAACGTGTTCTTAGCGATCTAAAAGTAAATGCTGAAAAATAAACTTCGTTGAAAAAAATCTCAAAATCAACTCTAAATTTAAGGTTGAAAATTTAAATTTTGATTGATAAGCATAAACATAAGCGAAAAAATAGGCCCTTCAAACACCCACTATCATCGTTCCTGTGTTTTGGAATCCGATTCATGTTTATTTTTCTGATCCTGCATTCCAAAAAGGTTGGTGACCTGCTGAGGTAGGTAATGGGGAAAATAATAAATGCTGGTGATGGCAACGGGGTTACTCTTACCAATAAGATCGCTCACAAAAATGTCGCATCAGGGAGAACAAAGCACCCAAGGTACAACACTGTTGTATCAGCATCAATTATCAACCCATCGATGCCAGATAAGCTCCTAGATTAGGGACCTGCCTACTTGATCAAGGAAGGGAGCGCATCAGCAAAGGGCATCAATCATAATTAGTACTGAAACAAATGTTCCTGGCTAATCTCTTGACAGCGTCCAGGTCGTCATGAGTGGTCTTGAGCTGATCGGTTGGGGTTCGCCATGTTACCCATCGCATTCACTGTCACGTAAAAATCGATCAGTGCACCCCACACAGCATTCATTGGGGGGGGGGGGGGGGGGGGGCTCCCGTGCGCTGCTGTACCTTTTAATGTCTGATGTTTGCAGACAGTGGCTTGTCAGCCTTCGCTCGAGCGCTAGTGGTTGTTGATCTGGGCAACAGACATTGCCACTGCACCTCCCACCAAGTAGTTTCGAAATCCCCTCAGATTATTATTGATAGGCACTTAAGTTTACCTAATCCTTCCTTAATTGGCATCTAACATCTTTTTTGCTGTGGCCAATTCCCATAAAGTCCCTTTGCCTACTGTACGTGTAACTCAAAAACAATTTTAGGCTCTGTTGGTCTGCAGTAGGTCCACAAAAATCAAATAATTAATTCCACATCTATAGGAGTATTATGTTAAATATTTTGCCCTCTCTACTATGACCACCACCCAAGTTTACAAAACTGAACAATTTATATTTTCTTCAGTTACTAAAACCAATTTAAATACCCTCCAGCCGTAAGAACTTTTCCTGAATCATACAGAACAATTAAATTCATATGAAATTGATATATGTGCCTAAAGGGGCATGAGAACTTCTCTTACACTATATTGGTTTTGTATAGGATGGAGGGAGTACATGACACTTTGTAACGAAAGAATGACCCTGTTATACTTCTAAGGTACAGTATATTCGTGGCGTTATACTTCTAAGTTATATTCGTGGCTTCAACTAGGGCAATTCCAAGGCCTGGTGATGTAGGGATCAGTTTTGTTAGTGAGCCGCACTACAGTGAATGGCTACGTGACTGATTTCTTGGCTACATAGAAATTGATCGGTAGAGCCGTAGAGATGGCTGCGTCTACCTAGCACATGAGCCGCAGCATAGCTTTGTTGCTGCAGAGCAGTCACGGGCAGCTGAAACGTGCAGGCCTAGTGATCAAGCGCATCATCGGCTCGTTCTCGCTTTTTAAACTGCCAAATAATTTCTATATAAAAATTATTCTAAAATATTAAATATATTCAATTTTTTAAATTTGTAATAATTAAATTTCTTATTTTGCGTGTCTTAATTTTAATCTTCAGTATGGCTCCATTCTTTTGTGATTAAGTTGTATATTTTATCTCGATTTTTGGTAACATGTTTTTCAAGCTGTTAAAGGGTGCATATGAAAACTTTCTATACAAAAGTTGTTTTAAAATATCAAATAAATTTATTTTTCAATTTGTAATAATTAAAACTTAATTAATTATGAGCTAATAGTTTTCTTGTTTTTTGCACCCTAACTTCATTTTATCTTCTATAGAGACGAACACAACCTTATATTATATTAAAGGGGATACATGAAACTATCCCGTTCGGACGGGATGATCCCTTAGAGCTTAAAGATATTACATGATAACTGGATATTAGCCATTACCTATTAAGTATCAAGAGATACCTTAGAGGTATCATATTGTCCGAACGAGTATCAGCCAATATCTATCAGGTGTGAAGCGATACCTCGTAGATATCACTCCATCTGAATGGGATACCATATTGTAGCATTTCCCTACATTATACCACTTTACACATGTTTTCGCACATGCTAGCTGAAGAAAATATTCGGATCTTATGTTTGGCTCTAACTATGTTGAAAGTTCACTATCGATATTCCTCTTTTTTCGCTATGGAACACAGAAATAACACAATATCCGTGCTTTTAAAAATCGTACTAGGAGTTGAGGCACTGATAGCTCCAATAATCGCCAAGAACTCGTCAACGAAGAACAGAGGGGGGGGGGGGGGGGACAGGCAGAGGCAGAGGAGGAACTGCAAGGCAGGCGTGGGCAATTTACTTTTGATGATTGCGCATCTGACAAGAGTGTGCAAGGACAGGCACTGACATGAGGCACATGGTGCTGAATCAGTGATGAGGGGCAGCCATGTTGCAGCTGTCCATTGGGTGCACTCTGGTGGCCCCCATTCCTTTCGGGTCTGGTTCTTTTTGTTAACCCGACTCCTTCAAAATGTACTCCTACTACTCCCTACTTTTTCATCAGTTTTGTCACATAAATAAAAAGCCCAAAACCCGAACGACAATTCACGCCTCCGTCTCCGTTGTTTCGATGGCAGTTTAGCAGCTGCCGACGACGTCGGCCGGAGCGGAGGAGGAGGAGGTGTTTGAACCCAACACACCGCCGTGCGGCCGCGTCAAAAATGTGTGCTGCCGCCGCAGCATGTGCAGCTACAATTGCATCGCCGCGTTTGCGTATCGTATCGTATCATCACCGGCCTTGTCGTGTGTCCCCCTTTGTATGAGCTGTTGTGGTCCGTCCGGTCCTATGTTTGACAAACAAAACATGCCAGCAGTAAAAAAAAAAAGTACGTACACACAAACTAGTCACGTACTGTACGCACTCCTACTGCAGTACTGCACTAGCACAACAAAGTAGCAAACAGTGGTAGCTAGATCAAGCGAGTGACTTTGGCTTGTTTGATCAACTTAAAATTATGAGAAACTGACGGCCATTTTGGATTAGTATATATGACGGTTTTGTTTTGAAGCCAAATCATTGGCATTGCCAATATCCAATTTGATATTTTCTATATTCTACTCAATGCTTGGTTCTAACTTCTAAATTGGCCTCCAACCAAGGCCGTGTTTATGGGGTGTTTGGGAGAGAGGGGCTAAACTTTAGTTCACCCCCAACTACTCTAAACTTCCAACTTTCCATCATATCACATCCAAAACTTTCCTACACAAATAAACTTTCAACTTTTTTTTCTAAACTTCCAGCTTTCCCCAAACTTTCAACTTTTTTCAGAAACTAAACACAGCCCAAATACAACTCTACCCTACCAAAATGTTGGTAGTACCAAAACTTGCCAACATTTTGGTAAGGTATTGAATCAAACAAGCCCTGAGAAACATGTAGTTGTTACAGTTTTTTAGTTTCTGACTTATAGTTTATTTTTTGAATTGTAAAACCACAGTTTCTCTTGATCCGAAAAATTTATATACAATTTGGAGGAGTTTCTGAGCTTGGGAAAAGTTAGAAATATCAGAAACTTCCTCAAACATATTCAGGGACTCTCTGCAATTGTTTGTTTTACACTTTCACCGTTCCTTTTGGTGTGTAGCAGTAGAAGAACGGGAGGCAATAATGTAGGCAAATGTCGGGTGTCTTGGTACGTACCCTAGCTAGCTTGGGTGGTGCGGGCACTGCAGTGGGCCAAACTTTTTTTTTTTTGTGTGTGTGGCGTCCCGGTTCCAGCGCAGCAGTCCTGACCGAGACATTTGTCTCCACCAGTGACAAATCCGTCGTGTCATCTCATGGGGGAGCTCACACACAAAGACTACGCTACGCCACAAATATTGTCTACTCCTTCCGATCGATCTTTTCCATGCAAACGATGATACCATGCACTCCTTCCGTTCTAAAATACTATCTCAAGTTTTAGAAGTATACTACATCCCTCCTAAAATACTTTGTTCTAAAATGAAGCTATTTTTCTATCTACCTTCTCCTCTCAACCAATCACAACCATTTTTTTTCATCTACTTTCTCTTTTCAACCAATCACACACTTTTTTCAATCATTTTCACCTACTTTCTTAATACCCGTGCCAACCTCAAAAATGCTTACATTTTGGGACAGAGGAAGTATATGAGATCAACATAATGCTAAAAAAAATGATTGGTTAAGATGAAAAGATTCATGGAGAAGTGAATTGTAAGAGATGGTTATGATTGCTTGAGATAAAGTAAATATGCAAAGATTTAAGTTGTCATATTTTTATATAAAATTTAAATGCTGAAAAAATTTATATCTTAGAACGAATTGAGTAAGGTTGTGTTCGTTTTAGAGTTTAGGGTGACAATGTCTTGTTTTCCATTAGTGTGCTTTCTAAACTGTTAAGCGATGTATTTTTATGCTACTATATATAAATTTTATTTATCCAATAAACATTTTTAAGTCTATTATAATTAATTAATCATAAGCTAATGGCTTGTGTCATGAAGTTTTCACCTCCATACGCCCAAACAAATTCAGCCTGAGTAGGAAAATTTTTTTAGAAATGAACTTGTGCCAATTACCTTCCCGTACATAGCACTATAGCTACAATACTTTTTTAAAGAGAGAGAGAGAGAGAGAGAGAGAGAGAGAGAGAGCATAGCAGCAATACGGAGCAGTAGTTTTCTAGGTGTGTACTGTATGCCTTTGAGACTTAAAAAATTTCCAGCAAAGAGAAGTGCACAGTGTAAACTTGATGCATGTGTTGCTTTGTCCGTAATGATTGATGCGCATTTCACGGCAAATTTGAGCAATCTAAGATTGATCATGCCCCCCCCCCCCCCAGTAGGTTAAGATACTGTTTAGCATCTTAAATGCAGACAAAATGGACAAGATATCAGCTGTGGACAAATGAACTACTCCTAGATCAAAAAAGTGCTGGGCAATGAAGGCTAGTCGTGCTAATTTCGGCTAGTAAAGTTTATCAGTACAAGTAGCTGCTACCTAAGGTCTTATCTTTCGGCTCAATAAGCAGTTGAGATTGCAAGTGGATCATCACTTCACTAGTAGGAGTATCTTTTTTTGAACTATATATTGATGGATCACTTCATTATCAAATTAAGCTGATCAAACCTCCTTCTATATATGCATAGTACACTAGTAATTAATTAGAGAGATCAGGATACTACTCTATTAAAGTTTGCTTATTTACTCAGTATCCGTGATTTGGTTGGGAGGCAACGAGCTTATAGGAGATCTCTCATGTATGCAAGCATTTGGCGATCTCATATATAATAATGCATCCCAATTAATACATCCACACACAGAATGTTTCATTTTCTGTCAACGAAAGCATGCAGGTACGTAAGTACCCTAGCTAACTCAACTTCTTTGTTAGTCATTATCGTTAAGCTCATCCCCCGGATAATCATGATGATTTTAAGGCCGCAAGCAACATAAGCATTGAGTACGTATACGTGGTTGCTAGGACTAGGAGTACTCTATCACATGCAAACCCAACATAAGCCGCCCTGTGTTTGTTGCAACGCGTTTGATCGAGCACACAACTGGAGTAGTAGTAATTAATTAATTAGTGCTGGATGTGGCAAATTAAATGTGCGTGATGAATGGCTTGTTAATGACGATGTCTCACCCAGAGAGACCGGCAACTTAATGAGCCCAGTGACTTTATAACATCACTGCCCGTACAACACACATTACTCTGTCATAGGCTTATAAATTGTTGGATGTGGATGGATATATTGGATCCGGTCTGAAGCAAACGAAACACATTACACGGCCGGGGCAGCATCCAGCCACTACGGGGGTGTTTAAATGCATGTGTGTAAAGTTTTAACATGTCACATCGGATATTATATAGGGTGTTGTATGGAGTGTTTGGACACTAATAAAAAAAACTAATTACATAATCCATCAGTAAACCACGAGACGAATTTATTAAGCCTAATTAATCCGTCATTAGCAAATATTTATTGTAGCACCATATTATCAAATCGTGGAGCGATTAGGCTTAAAAGATTCGTCTCGCAAATTAGTCGCAATCTGTGTAATTAGTTATTTTTTAGCTTATATTTAATATTTCATACAGGTGTTCAAACATTCGATGTGATAGGATGTAAAATTTTGAGGTGAGATCTAAACAGGCCCTACATTGCATTTGCATCTGCATCCATGCACATCATATATTCGACATTGCGATATGAGAAAAGCTTTAGATTTCGTCGCACATACGATGCTATGGTTTTATCAGTCACGGGCGCAAGTGAATCAGTTGTAGCTAGTAGCTTAGCTAGGTTGGTTGTTGCACAGGCTGCAGCTGCTTTGTTGCGTGCAACCTGGTGGACCATGCTAGCTAGTGTGCATATAATGCAATACAACCAGCAACAGATGCAAGGCTCCAACGTTGCATTGCTGCATGTATGTATGTATGGACGGTACGTGGGCCTGTCACATCGGCAGCATGCGTGCAATGTACACCGGCAACCAGCCGGCAATGGCACGTCCGGTTGGGATGCACGCTCACGCCCGCAAAACCTCCTTTTCTTTTCTCCCAATTACACGAAAGGCACATAGTACACGTGCATAAAACATACCCGTAAATGTGTACTTTTAATGAATAATGTTTGGTTAAGACCCGCTAAAATAATGATTTTCGCATGTGACTCTCTTAAGAGACCTGTCTATGAAAATAAATCTATTTTCACAGATAGACCTCTTAATAAACATGCCTAACACAAGGCTCGTCCTCACTCCCTCTTATTTTCTCTTCTCACCTATCTCTTTAAAAAACCTCCTTACTCTACTCGGCCACTCCCCTCTCTCCCTCTTATCCTCTCCTCACCCAAGGCCGACGGGAGCGGTGGCACCTAGGGCAGTGACGGCGGGCGGATCTGACCCCAGCAGACGGAGAGACAACAACAATGGCTCCTCCGCTGCTCCCTCTTCCTCTCCCTCTCCCTCTCACTCTCCCTCTCTCTTACTCTCTCCTTCGCCCCTCATCATCTTTGTCTCTCAAACTCTATAGGCTGGCAGAACACAAAATTTGACAATTTGACCCTTTCCGAAATCTAATTTCGCAAATGAAACGTGGCCAAAACTTATTTCAAAAATGACTCTTTTGTTCAACACCAAATGGTACAGTGCTAAACCATACGATTTGGCGCTAAACAAAAGGGTCGTTTTTCAAATAAGTTTTGGCCGCGGTTCATTTGTAAAATTAGTTTTCAAAAAGGGTCAAATAGTCAAATTTAATGCTGGCAGAAGCACTTGAGGATAGCAGCGGGTCCAGCGGTGCGTGAGGAGGTCGGCAAAAGAGGCGCACGTTGACGGCGGCAATGATGTGCATCGACATTACTAGCGGTGTTGCCTCCTTGGGGCATCTCCACCGCCTCAGGAGTGCCCAACCCCCTCACGGATCCATCACTGTCAGTCTCGAGTGCAGCAGGGTCTCGACAACAATGACGGCGGCTGAGATGGTTTGAGCTAGAGTTTTGACTTTTTGAATTTTCAAAAATGTACTCTCATATAGTCATGTATATCATAAATTGAACTCTGATTGGTAAATTTGTGGACACACTATTGACCATTACACCATCGGTATTTTCCCGACCTCTTGTTTCATTGATAGCAAAATTTGCTAAGGACATCTAAACTTTGTGTAATTGGCTGGAAGACATTGCAAAATCGCATATCTGCTAATGGACACCATAAAATTTGTATACTTGACTGTAGGACACCGAGGCAATATTTTATCAAATTTAGACATAAAGAGTTGAAATTTTAAAAAGACAAAATTACCCTTAGCCTGATTGAACCATCGCAACCCCGAACCCTATACCCACATGCACCCTACCCTAATCCCCATCCAAAGACCCTAACCCTAGGCGACGGCGGTGGCAGCGAGAGCTGGCAAGCAGTGCTGGGAAGCAGGTGATGGTCCTGATGGAACTGAAGTGGATAGGGCTGAGGGTAATTTTATCGTTTTAAGACTTCTCTCCCCTAGTTTTGCCAAAAATGATAAAGTATTATCTCGG